GCCCCCCCCCCCCCGGGGCTGTAAAGAACAAGGTATAACACAATACAAGGTACTTTTGTCATTAAATGATATGCAAAGAAGTGGCCGGGTATTCTAAAATTTAGCCTTCCAAAATACAGATTTTTCTTGCTTAAAATGTCAGCTTAAGAGAAAAATATTGACACAGTATATACCTGCCAACTTTTTCTGAGATATAAGCGTGAGATTTTTATCCTGGGAGTGCTGGGATTTTTGAAGATGACACGATCATTTCCGAAGATTCCTGAAGAAGTCCGAAGTCTTCCAAAGACATCTGAAGTCTGCTGAAGTCTGCCGAAGGCGAGCTCACTCCCAGTGCTTTTCACTTCAAAAATCAGAGATCGCGAGGAAGATATTGTCATTTATTCTTTTTACACAAGGTTTTCGTTCCTTAAATGGATATGAGTTAACATATTTTTGGAAATTGTGTCAAGCAAGACGGCAACAACTCACATTTTTCAATCAGGCGAGAGAAATTGGCCCGCAAGCGTGAGCCGGCGTGAGATTGAAGTTTTCAACCCGCGGGCGTGAGAGTTGGCAGGTATAACAGTATGTTTGCAAAGATTTTCTAAGTTTCAACCAATGAGGGAATGGATAAATAAGTAAACTTGTGGAGTTTTCAACTTAAAACTTTTTCAAATTTGTGGTTGTGTGATTAGCAGGCAAAAAGCAAAAAATCTTGATGTAACAACGATGTTTACTTACTCTCATGCAAACTCACCTCTCGCCCAATCAGAGCGTGCGTACTATCTTAGTTATTTTACGAGAAGTTCTCATTGAGAAGGGAAGTGCTGCCGTTAGTTGCGAAGCGAATAGGACGAGGACAGTTTGTAGAACAGTTGAACGTATAAATTCTCTTTTATTAAAGTCAATAACTTAGACTTGCTGGCATTATGAAACACTCAGAGCGTAATATAAAAAATGAACCGATCACAATGACAAATATGCTTACATTCATATAACTCGCTAAGGTTTCAATACCATTTTGTAATTCATTTTAATAATTCATGAAATTCTAAAACAACAGCAGTGCTGATAGGCTGTTTCTTCATCAAACAATCATCGTACACAGGATCGATGAGATGAGTTGCGAACAAATGACGTAAAGGCCAACACTTGTTTATTCACAGGTCAGGTAGATGTACAGCACATGCCGTTCACTTATGTAACTTACAATCCTGATTACCAGGATAACAATCTGTGTGACAAAAGAATACTCGCTATAACTAATCTTGAAACCTGAATAAAAAAAATAAACCGAAAAAATGTTCCATACAATATGTCTTGAACTGTTCTTACCGTTTAGGCCGTTTAAAAAGACAGCAAGTATCCGATAAACTACGATTTCTGCACAGATCTTACATGAGAGCAAAACAAAATGGCGGGTTGCTCCTAAGAGAAAAACCGGCACGGCAGCTAAGCAGACCGCTGACTGCACAGCACTTCAGTCACAGATGACCATCGAACCATGGAACAATGGAACCATCGAACCATCGAACCAAAAATCTCAAATGGATCAAGAATATGGTCTGCTGCCGGCTGATGCCCGGCAGTAATAAAAAGGATTAGACTATGAGTAGTCCCCCATTTTTCCTCAGGAATAGTAGAGCAAGCAAAATGTGAGCAGCCATAAAAATCACCCCACATGAGAGAGGCGAGAAGCAGTGGGGAGAGGGAAAAATGAGGGACTGCAGACAAAGCCCAAGTTTTTGACCCTTCAAGGCCAACTGATTTTGGAGTGTGAAGTTCTTATCACCTTTCAAATCAATTAGGCACATCCAACGGGATTCCTTTTCTCATTGAGCCATTATTGCTCTTGTCATTGCTAAACTACACGTCATCATTTTCTCTTGAATGCTACAGCCCACTTTCCTAATAATAATGATTATTTGCCGAATAAGTCTAAAGACAAAAAATGGACTACTCGCGAAGTCTATTTGAAATCTCCTGTTCTGTTTGTTCAGAAAAAAATGTAAGCTTACGCATGTATTTTAGGAGCCACAAGCTTTTTGATTATCAAACGATCTCTTACCTTGCTTACAAAGTGATCAAAGCATTGCCAAGTTACCGTAATCTTTTCTGAAGGCAGGAAGAAACAGTTTTCCTTTTTTTGTGATTTGGGCCCCTGTAAGTAAAAAATCACACCTTAGAAAATATTTATGACATGCAAAACTGCTTTAAACATCATTGGTTTATCATCGGTTTACGTTTCCTGTTTTAACAAGAAAGGGGAAAACGTTTTGATTTTCTACCTTGAGCTGGTACCGGAGGCTAATGTGACCATCTCAGAATAGTGTAATTTTCGACCAGCTTGAAGCTAGCCAGTACTTAACATTGTAAGTGAAGTTTCAGTTCAGGGTGATCTCATTGATAAGCAACTAAAGTTTTGTTTCTAAGACCAATTTCACAGGAAAAACGTGGTAAACTGAGAACTATAAATTAATACAGTTGTGGCTAGAAAAA